CTATATTTGTTCATGATTTATTCATGATTTGTACTTCAGTAGTAACTGAGTTACTGCTAAGGATTTGTGTCCCCTCAAGTAAAGTGTTTTATTTTGCATTTGTACAAGTACTTGTACAGGTACATTTGCACAATGTGCATTAATGTTTGCAGCTTTACTGGCCTGTTACCATGACCTATTACTGGTGACCTTCCACCTTCCACGCGAGCCGGTTGGCCTCCCCAGGGCTGGTCCGCGGCACACAGTGGCCGTGATTTTCTGTGACAAGCTCAGTCCACACATGCAGTAGGCTGCTATTCCCATGCCCCCCAGTCCCCTTCTGTCGCCCAGTTGGGTAGCGGGGGCTCTCCTGCTGTAATACCCCCCACCCCCCTCCTTCCTTTCATAAAGCACTTTTCACATTTTATGTATTCTGGACTGTTCAGAATTATGGACAGGAATGTCAGCTTTCAAATGAAAGATTGAAATAATAAATATAATACAAATAAGTAACATTTTATTGTGTAGAGAAGTGGTTCAGTGCTTATCTGCAGGTATTAATCAAGCATTAATACTATATATACTGTGCATTCATTTAAATACCTCAAGGCTCAGCTTGACCCTGCACTGAATAAGTGGTTTTACTGTATATATATAAATATATATATATATATATATAATATATATATATATATATATATATTTAAGGACACATAATATGGAGCTTTTAGAAATTAGGTAATCATATTCCTTCTCAGTCACAGAACTGGCCACATTCAAAGGAAATAACTTATAAGTCATTAAAATTTCCATGAAAGTGGTTTTTTTTGCCAACCAGGAAAAATCGAATCTGTGAGACATACCAAGAAAAAAAAATGTGAAAAGATTTCTGTATGTGTTAAAAGTAAGAAAAAAAGCAATTAAAGTGGCAACAAATTATTAAACGTATTTGTAACTGGGACAATGTGCTAACAAAAGAAAATTAGTCAACTATCAAAAAGGCACAGTTTCACTTTATGTTACTTAATTGATCACACAGTTGATTACAAAAAGATAAAGTGTAGCTACAACCTTCTCATGCTTCACAAGTCATGCATTTATTGCTATTTTTAAAAAGTTTTCTGCAGCAGACTGCATTGCGTTTTTTTTTCTTATCACTCAAGCAGTAATACATGTAAAAATGAACTCAACAAAAAAAATATCAAACTGCCCCTTAATTATAATGTCATTATAATTTAGTAAGTTAATTGGCTGAGGATAATCAAACAATTAGTGCCTTACACACGACTAGCTAAATTAAAGGTCTGAGAGATTCGTGCACACGCAATCCCAGATGCCAAGTCAGACAGAAGAAGGGACAGTGGTTGGCCATCAATTTCTAAACCTCAACACGGTATCCAACATGCACACAGTCATTTCCTGTCAATCCTTTCTGCACAATGGGCAATTACCAACATTTGACATGCTTCCGTTTAAAGGTGCTATTCTTTATTCACCTAAATCCCAGGCTTCACTAAGGATCATTACAGCATAACTACGGCACTAAAATACGGAAAAAAAAACATCTATAACCATATCATTCAGAAGCTATAGAACTTTTAGGAGCTTCATGGTACTTTAAGATTTTAATGCTACCTTTGAAAATTACCTGAATGTCGACCAGAACAAATTAAGCATAACATAACATAACATAACATAACATAACATAACATCTATAACATGATATTTCTGTGCTTCCACAATTTAAATTAGTATATTTTATTTTTAAAAACTGTATATTAATATGTAATAAATAGAATTAATAACTATAAGAGCCCTCTTGAGAGATAATTCATACTTGGTCTCACACACAGCATCATAATCTTACACACCATTATACTCTTACATATATAATACTATACCCTCTTACATGCATAGTCATACTCTCCATGTCCTCGTTTCATTGCCACCTGGAAACATGTGTTGTGCTGTGAGTGGATTTACAGCGTTTTTTTTCTTCTGCATATGTTCTCAGAATTTGTATGTGTTTTCTTCAGCGTGTCGCTCCTGGTTCACCGTCTTGTTACATCAATCAACTTCCGTTTCAATCTAACTTATCAATCAAACAAATAGAGTGTGATTGTGCATGTAAGAAGGTATAGTGTTTATGTAAGAATATAGTGGCGTATGTGAGAGATTATGATGGTGTGTCTGAGACCAAGTATGAATTATCTCTCAAGGGGCCTCATAAATGACAACTAAACATGCCTTCCGTATTTTTTTGTGTATTCTCTATGAAAAAGTATTTTTCCTTTAACAACAACTCTTACATTGTTGCTGTTGGATAAAACATAAAGCAATTCATCATTGTCAATACATCACAATAAAAAATAGAATAAAACACCACAAATCCTGCACATTTCTTCATAGCTCTAATGCTTAAGGCAGCTCTACCTGATGCCGGATGTAATTCAGCCCTTGACATGCATGACCTTTCATGCCTTTCACCGTTATAACAAAATCATAGCATATAGTCGTGGCTTTTGGTTGTTTCTGTACTGCTACTATCATAAACTGTCAGATCATCACTCCAATCCAAAAAGACAAACCAACTTCATTTCTTCTATGAAAATCTAATAAAACATTTTGGATTCCTGGGAGCTAAACTTTATGTACGGACATGAGTTAGTTAAACATCTGTAGGAGTGATAACTATATGATATCAGTTGCTATCTGTAGCTGTAACAGAACGATAAAGCAGTAAGCAGTGACAAGAAAAAGTGCATATTAGCTAGAGGTGTCACGATTACTCAATTAAACTCGATTACTTGATTATTAAAAGCATCGATTAAAATTTTCCTTCTTGCTTACTTGGCAATTTGGTGGAAGAAAGACGGCACCTGCAGGATGAGTGTCCAAATAAAGAGCGAAAGCATCATTTGTGTGGAAGCACTTCACATTAAAAGTGAATGAAAGTGCAGTCGTCTGTCAGTATTGCAAACAGAACTTACATATCACCACAGAACGACTACAGTTCAAATACATTTTAAAAGAAGACATTCAGGTTTGCTGGGCTCACCCAATAATAGCCATAGATATGTCCCATTAAGCCTCTCAAAGTAATCTAGTCTGTCTTTGTCATCACTTTGACTTAAATTATTTTGCTTATTATGATTGTTATATGTCAAAATAATTGATGCTAAAACAAAGGTTAGCCCCGTCATTTAGCCGCATCGTTTTACATAATATGGTACATAATAACCAATTAATATCAATTATTTTTGTTAAAATATTGTGTGATTTGAACAGGGCTGAAAGATACTTGAAAAAAAATTACATCGTGATATGTAGGAGTTGAAAATGAACCATATAGCGAAATAGAACTGATTATCTACCAACAATGTTTATCAGATAAGTTGGTGGTATTGCCCTGATTTATGCCAACAGACAAAGCAGTGCAGACAAATCACTTGCTTTTCCTCAATATTGTCCCTATGATTAATATTTCCATACCGCGGGATCTTTTCGTGACCAGTTCTTCTTCATTTTTCTCCCTTGACTCATTTTTTTATTTCTCATAAATGTGCAACAAGGTTTATAAGTTAGTCCAGCTCCAAGGACAGGAATGATTATACTTATCTCAGTCGATCGCAGGCAATGCTAATGCAAAACAATAAAGATAAAATTTAGACTGATTTTTTAAAGCTATACTAGATAATGCTGGACAGGAACCATCATTAAAATTGCAAAGCTTGCCGAGTTTGGTTTCCTGTGACAACGTAAAATGTTTTAGCGCAACTTATTGATAGTTTGAACCCAGCAGACTACAGTATATCTTGTCAAACATTGAACATTGTGCAAGCCTGGCACTGTGGGTAACAATGTCACTGCCCACCGCCGCTTTGCCTGGGTGGAGTTTGCATGTTCACCCTGTGAGTGGGTGCCATTTTGGCCGATCCGCTGATTTCCACATACTGTCCAAAAACATTAAACTTAAGTTAATTGGAGTCCCTAAATCTACTGTATATGTGACTGAGAGTGCATCCTGCAATGTGTGGTTAGTTCCTGCCTTGCGCCAATTGCACACTACCTGGCCAAAAAAAGTCACACACTTTAATACTTTGTTGGACCACTCTTAGCTTTGAATATGGCGCACATTCATCAGTGCATTGTTTCCAGTGTTTATGCATCATCTCAATATTTTCTTTAATCCAGATTTGCATTCATTTCTTACTGAGATGTTGTATCAAGGATAGGTGAGTTGAACCACTCCATAAAGTCTTCTCCAGTACAGCTCAAAGACTTTCAATGGGGTTAAGGTCAAGACCCTGTGGCGACCAATTCATGTATGAAAATGATTCCTCATGCTCCCTGAACCACTCTTTGATAATTCAAGCCCAATGAGTCCTGGAATATGCTCACGCCATTAGAGATAGAGGTAAGGATCATGTGAGGATTACAGCACATTGCCACACGACCACCTCAGGGATGAGAACCTGAGTGCAGCCATGTGGCAGGTGATACTTCAGCACCACACTGGTCCTAATAGAACGTTATGAGTTTTTTCCTAGTGTCTGGAGTGCCAGTCCTGCCACCAACTCCCAAATTTTCCCTGAAAGTTGGCGGACCTCCTTGCAGAGCTAGATGTAGATTAACATCATACCCAGGATGAAGCAATTGTAGGTTAAGGGCCTTGTTCAAGGCCACAATGGAGTAGGATGACTTCTGGCATTCATAAAATTCGAACCAGCAACCTTCCCATTGCTAGCTCAGATCCCTATAGCCACACAGCCACCACTGCACCCATTAGGCCATTAGGAAAGAAAAAAATCCATTGATGAGGTAACCTGGCCATTCAAGAGATTCAGGTACTCAGCTGACTTCACTTTATTACTGCATAACATTGCTGAGCTGTAATAATGATCCAATCATTGGCTCTTAAGTACTTGCTGATTTAAATTCAAACAGTGACTTTTTTTTGGCCTGACAGTGTATTCTGTAGATGCTAATGACAATGAAGACAATATGAATGCAAAGCTCACCTTCCCCAATAGCTCATTCACCTTGGGGACCATCTTGCCTTTCTGATGGCGAAAAGTGGGCGGAGACTGGCCATCCCATCCACTAAGCTCCTCGGTACTCTTCAGGTAGAGGAGAGCCTTTAGCCCCAGGCAATAATCTTCGATCACCGTGAAATCTTGATTCTGAACAGCACTGCATACCTGTTAACACACACGTAAGCACACAGCTTATGGTAGAGGCACAAGTCAAGATATGAATATGTCAGTGTTGTGCCTCATCCAGAAAATAATAATAATAAAAAACAAATACAGGCCAGACAACAAAGGTGAGTTTTAGCCGGCTGATTGACTCTTTCAATGATTATCAGGGGTCCCACTTCCACAGGCCAAGTATTGGTATGTGTGACTGAATGTAAACTAACTGCAAAGCATATTATATTGGATTAGATGATAAATGATTACTGAACGAATCGTCAGATTAATCGGTAGATTACTCGATTACTGATATAATCAATAACGACAGCCCTAGTTATCCAGTTAGTTAGCAGGTCAAACCCATTTCCCAGCTAACAATTTTTACTTTTAGGAACATTTACTGAATGCTGCGATTAAGGTATGTGAACATTCAAAGTGTTCAGTTTTCCTAGAATGTTATCCTGCTACTACAGCTAAGAACAATAATGGCCAAATGGGTAAAGGACATAGTAAAGTGGACAGCAGATCCATGGCTTTATACCTCGAAGGTTAAGGGTTCAAGGCTGGACGGCATGCTCTCAGTATACACATATTATAAAAAATATTTTTCAACATTAATTACGTTAAAAGGATGTTAAGGTAATAATGTAATCATACTCTTATTCTCAGCAACATTGTTAAAATGTAAAACATAGAAATGATGTCCCATTGACGTTACAGTATGGACATTTTCTACCTACTTCAAGAAGATCTTTACATAATACTGGCTAAATGTTCCCTGTTAGCAGGGGGGGCACCCTAAGCAAGCTCTCCCCCTGAGGTGCTGCCCCCTCAGAAGTTTGTGCCCCAGCCTGTCACCTATAGGATAGATTACTGATAGCTCTTCTGACCAAAAAAAAAACACAAAAGGTATATGTTTAAGTGAATATTCAATCCCAATTGTCAAACTAAAAAAAAATAAAATAAAATTGACATTACACTTAGTTCATGCTCTGAGCTGCCTGTTTGATTAGAATTTTACATTTACATGGCTCCACTAATTGTGATTAGTTAAGACAGACCCCAGTCTCTACAAAAACAGACAATACACACTGAATATAAGTGAAAACAAACTTCAGAAAGTACCGCACGGCATGTTAAAACAGCCAATGAGAGTTTGCCGTGTAATGATTGACTTTGAAATGCTAACAGGAACGGCAGATTTAAGAGAGGAGTCGGACGGGCATAGCGTCAAGCACAGGAAAGATTTAAATGTAAAACACAAGCCCCTGAAAAGCTGAGCTGACGTGAGAAATGCAGATGACAAACTAACAAAGGCAGTTCATGCACACGCTACTGCCGTTTCTCTCCAGGCAGATTGACTCTTGTTCTCCAGGGGAAAACGCCGAACATTAATTAGACAGTTTGTGCCTCCTACAGACAAAATGATTTTACAGCAATTTACACATCTGAGTATTTTTCTTTGGGCTATTTACGTGTAAATAGGAGTCTGCATTCGGTAGCTGTACTGGATTTCATGAGACCATGAAATTTAAGGTAACTATGCACTTTGTTAAGGTGGCATAACCTAAGCCTCTGTGTTTGTGATCAGAAGGTCCCTGGTTCAAGCCCGGTCTCAGCACGGATGTGGGCCCTTGAGCGAGGCCCCTAACCCCCAGCTCCCAGGGTTTCACTGCAGGTGGCTGCCCTTCACTGCCAAGCTTGCTCTCCTTATTAAGTCACTTGTTAATATCTTAGAAAACTAAAGTGTACAATAGGGACTGCCCTGATTTTATACAGGGATCATTAAACTTACATGGAGTTATTATATAAAGTTTATGGTCAATCATATTAATTTTAAAAAGCTTATTTATCAGCTGTGGTCATGGAATGTATGGTTCTTATATCACATGAATAATGAAAAGTGATATTAACTAAGCAACATTAAACAGTTGATGAGGAGGAGGGAGCGGTCAAGTTGCTCATATATAGCAACGTGCAGGGCGAGAGTTTCTCAAATACTTCCATAAAGAGGAATGAGAAATCAATCATTTCTGCAATGGTTGAAAAGATAGGCAAGATTGGTAGTAGACACAAGACCTTTGTGGCTTTTCAGCTTGATTTTTTTGTATAAAAAAGAACATTTACAGTATATTCTTTATTGTAGCTGAAATGTACCATATATAAGTACAATACATTAGCTGTGAGAGCACAGGATCTTTTTTAGTACTGGTGGGAGCCAATTAATGTGGATATCTGGTAAGTGTAGCATTATCCACCGTTTTATAATACAGAACAGAAAATTATACTGGATGTGAAAGACTCACTAAATTAAAACCATTTATTGGAGAAATCCTAGCATAAAAATTCTACTTTCTATATCTATGCAAAACATTTGCCCTTTATAGAAATCAGCACAGCATAAAACTCTAGCAAATTCTAGCAAATTTACGATGCAGTCTAGCTCTGTACCAATGTATTATGTCCTGTAACAATGTGATGAGCAATGTAATGTATACACAGGGAAAAATAAAAAAAAAACAAAAAAAAAAAACAAATGCATTCTGGGAGTGCTTTGTACAACCTAAGCACCACAGTCCAGTGATGGAAGGAGAAACTCCATTAGTGTTTTTCATTCACCTCAAAACATCAAAGATGCAATGCCCCCAGTACACTGCATTTAGTGCTAATGTTACTGACTGCAAAAATAAATCGAAGGGAGAATTTCTAAGCAGTTGCCGAGCGATTGAGACAGCGGGCTCTTCTTAGCCACCCTGCGACCGCGGCATCGCATTGATTTCAGCTCCTTCTGAGATCTCAAATGCTTTTCAGGCCGCCGTCCCTCCTCTCGGGTCTTTTACCGCGAGTGATGAAATGCCGGCGTTCGGCAGAGCGCCGTCTTCTCCAGAAACGGGGAAGATCGAATCAGCTGGGCCTCAAAAGCACTATAGTGACTGCTTATTAACCTCGCCCTCATGCTGAAACGGAGCAGGCAACACTGACACAGTACGTGGTGTGCATATATACATGTATTCAAGATTCAAGAGATTTATTCGTCACATACAGTACAACATGCAGTGAAATGTATCTCGGAGTCGCCCTTATTTGGCCGTGCAAAAACAGAAGAAAAAGGTAAGAAGTAAAGTCGGAGTAAAAAAGAAAATTACAATATATAAATACAATCTATCAAATCAAGTATATAATCTAAAATATACAATTCAAATATACTATCTAAAATATAGTGCAATGGCGAGTGAAATGGCGAGGATGTATAGACTAAAGTTATTTTTGCAGTAAAGTGAACATGTGCAGTATATGTGCATTCCAGTACAAACGTACGTAGTGTACAGAAGGACCAGAATTAGTTTGAATTGAGAAACCTTATGGCCTGGGGGAAAAAACTCTACCTGAGTCTCTCTGTCCTGGACATTAGGCAACGGAACCGTATGCCTGAGTTCAGTATGCGGAACAGACAGTTTGTGGGGTGTAAGGAGTCCTTAATTATCTTAGTACCTCTGGACCTGCAGCGTTTATTGTAGGTGTCCAGCAGGGAGGGCAGAGGAGATCTGACACAACGCTCGTCCACCCTGATCACCATCTACAGGGCTTTGCGGTCCTTTAGAGAACAGCTCCCAAACCATACTGTAATGTTCATGGTCAAGATGCTCTCCACAGCAGCTGAGTAGAAGGTCTCCTCAGCTGCCTCAGGTAGTACAGCCGCTTCCTCACTGGTGCTGGTGCCTGTTCTGCCCCCAGAACAGGCACCAGCACCCGGCTGCCCCCAGAACAGGCACCAGTACCCGGCTGCCCCCAGAACAGGCACCAGCACCCGGCTGCCCCCAGAACAGGCACCAGCACCCGGCTGCCCCCAGAACAGGCACCAGCACCCGGCTGCCCCCAGAACAGGCACCAGTACCCGGCTGCACC